AGGTGTATGGTCTGGGACAGCTACATGGCACAGTGGCTAGGGCATGGGCCCTGGATTTAGGAAGACCTGAGTTCAAATGTGACCTCAGACACATAACGCTTACTAGCTGGGTGACCCTGGACAAGTCACTTCACCCATTGCCTCACAAAAACAAAAAACAAAAACAATCTGTATAGTCTTAGCAAAGTCCCTTAATTTCTCTTGGCCACAATTTTCACCCTTCATAATACAGTTTTAGGCCAGGTATTCTTCAGGGTCTTACCTGGCTAAAAATTGAATAGTGGTGAAGGTTTTAACTTCAGTCTTTTCTTTCCTTCAAGGTCTGCCCTAGTTGCTATTTCTTCATCAAACCTTTACAGGCCTTTTCCTCCAATTCCTGCTGCCCCTCCACCTACAAGAGTAAAAGTTGTCTTTTCTGAAATTTTCCATGACATTTTTCCTGGACCTCTCTTTTACGTATCTCATTTTCCCTCTTATGTTTTGGGGCACTCATGTCTTTGGTTTTTTGTGCACATCCGTTTTTCTCTTTCAGATTATAAGTCTTTGAGGGCAAACTCTATTTCAAAGTTATCTTTGTAACTCAGTACCCAGCATGGTGCCTTATATGTAATATGTTTTGTTAAATTAAATGGAAATACTTAATTTTATTTCTTTCTATCTTAGAAACGGAGACTTGAAAATAGCAAAAATGTAAATACAGAAAAACTAAGAGCCCCTGTTATCTGTGTACTCGGACACGTAGATACAGGAAAGACTAAAATTTTAGATAAGGTAAGAAAATAGTTTATGAACTATGCTTTTAATTTTTTAATAGGTTAGATACTGTTAAATTTATTACTTCATTTCTAGGCTACTATTGTTTACATACATTGTTAAAAATGTAAAGGAATTATTCTTTGAAATGATTAAGAATTAAATTGTTTAAAGATGTTCCTCATGCTCCATTATTTTTCTTTTTTTCCATTAGTTTTTGAATGCTTATTTGTATTTATCATTTTCTCCTAGCTCCGTCATACTCATGTACAAGATGGTGAAGCAGGTGGTATTACTCAGCAAATTGGGGCCACTAATGTTCCCCTTGAAGCTATTAATGAACAGACAAAGATGGTAAAGAACGTAAGTATGCGGGGGGTGCTTTGTAGTTTAGGTTGTAGTCTTCAGAATGTAGATAGTATTTTCTAGATTTGATCTAAAATTCTGAGTTTCATTTTTATATGTCACATAGTGTATGTGCTATATTCTCCATATAAAAAGAAATGTGAATGTGTTTAGATGCACTTATATTTCATAATTCACATTAAGTTAGAATTAATCTAGCCTGACTTCCTTATGTAATCAAGGAAATTTGTATACATTTTGAGGCATTTTTGTAAATATCCTATATTGAAAATATGTGAATTTGCCAAATATATGCTAAATGAATTTTCCAGAGCTTGCAAACTGTTCATAGCGGTGGAAAATGCTATGTTTTGATTGCAATTTGCTTATATACCTACTTACAAGGAAAACCAAATATTGTTGTACTGTATAACACATAACATAGGCTCAGATATTTTCTTTAATTTGTCAAATTTGAGGTTGATATATGTGGCTTGGAGCGTGTAGCCAGAATTTTAGAATCTCTTTGACATTGGACTATATAAATTTCAAACTGCTTGAATGCTCCTTTGATGATTTTGCTATTTAAAAAGGCATAATAGAATTTAGGTTTCACTCTTTCATAAGTTCTAGTTACAAAGTAACTGAACCTTTTATGGTATATTTAACAAAAGGTTTTTCAGAGTTGAATGTTTCTGTTACATACTGTCTGTGTGTGCGTGTGTGTGCCTTACCTATTCAGTTCTGTATATCAAAAGTACATGCTGGAGTTTGCTTAATTATTTAATCACCTATTTTATTTTAGAGTAAATTAAATGGAAAAAGAAGGACTTTGAAAATTTGGGTTCTCTTTGTGTTGAAGGCAATGTAGTTAGCTTATAAGTTGATGGGTCGCTTTTATTGAGGGTCTAGCTTTTTGAAGTATTGTGTTTGTGCTTCTTGTATATTTGTTTTGTCTTATTTTCTAATGTTAGTTTGACAGAGAGAACATAAAGATTCCTGGGATGCTTATAATTGATACACCAGGCCACGAATCTTTCAGGTAAGAACAAACTTAAAAAACCTCAGTTTTTACTGTCAAGTGAAGTTCTCTTTGACTATTTTCTTCTAAAGTGTTAAATAATTTCCCATTGTAAGTTTGGCTTTTGTTCATATGTGATGTACTGTCGTTTTTACAGGTTTTCTAAATTGAATATATGCATATAAATTGATATAGGAAATAATGTTAGTGATGTGAATTTTTAAATTCTACTTTAATTTGGGATATGACTCACTTTTACTGTATGGAAAGTAGATATGACTGTGGCCTCAGTACAGTAGCTTCTAATGCTCAGCCCAAGAATCAGACCAACAGTGAACTTTCTCTAGTCTTTTGTTTATATTCTTTGAAGTCTGTTAGTGAAACTGGTGGAGACATCAAAAGAATTTACTTTAAGTCTGATTCACTCACATAGTGTATTGTTCATCTCATTTTGATCAGATAATCACACATTAAGGTTACTGTCATGTTTGTACCACATTTTCCACTTAGTTCTGTTTGTTAATAGTGATTATACTGAGAGGGTTAAAAGAATTCTAAAGCAGTGAAAAAGAGCCTTGAGTTTGAAGTCAGGATTTGTGTTTCAGTCCTTGCTCCCCTGCTGTGATTTTGGGCAAGTTGGTTAATTTCCCTGAGTGTCAGATACCTTCTTTATAAAAGGAAACATTTAAATCACATGACCTTAAGGTCTTTTCCAGCTTTAGATATATGATCCTGCAATCTGAGTTAAGTTTGGGAGTCTTTGTTTCATCTTCTTATTTATACCTTTTTTTTCCCCCTCCTTTTTTAATAGTAATCTTAGGAACAGAGGGAGCTCACTTTGTGATATTGCCATTTTAGTTGTTGATATTATGCATGGTTTGGAGCCACAGACAATTGAATCTATCAACCTACTGAAATCTAAAAAGTGTCCCTTCATTGTAGCACTCAATAAGGTAAGCTGTCTCTTAAGAAAGTGCGTGTGTGCATCTGCATGTGTGAGAGAGAGAGAGCGCGAGCAGGAACATGTACATCAAGGTTTGTAATGTAGTCGTGTATTAAAATTAGTCGCATTTATAGTTATTGTTCTCAAACTCTGTAAAGATACTTTTGGTTCAGAATCTAAGGACACATGAAAAACTGTCTAGTTAGCATATGAAAGTTAAAAAGTGTGTCTGTGTATGTGTGTGTTTGTATAATGGTGTTTGAAGTGACTTCATTTCTTTTAAGTTATTTGATCAGTGTCAGTTTTATTACTATTGCCAATCTTGTTAAGACATGATTGTGTTTGAATCTTGCTGTTTCTTAGCTTTGAACAGAGGAGAAGGAATTAAAAGGCAAGGGTTATATCTGAAGGTTATGTTTTATGCTTTACTCTTCCTTGTTTATTTTTAATTTTTTTTTAATCTGTATGTTTCCCCAGGGACTTGTGGCCTCTTGAATGTGTCTCACTATATTAAGAGATTTTGCCATCTTCATAATATAAAGCCTCTATCCCAAACTCAGTGATATTTATTTATAATAATGTTGATCTAGAAGTTTCATGTTCAACACCTAAACTTATAAGTTACTAGGCATTTTTACTCTATGAAATTAAGTTGAAGAAGACAGGATTTGATCTTTTGTTTGCCCAGTTTTGGGTCAGCTACATGGTACAGTGGATAGGGTTGCCAGGCCTGGAATCAGAAAGAACTCAGTTAAAATCCAACCTCAGACACTTATTAGCGCTGTGACCCTGGGCAAGTCACTTAATCCTGTTTGCCTCAGTTTCCTCATCTGTAAAGTGAGCTGGAGAAAGAAATAGCAAACCACTCTAGCATCTTTGCTAAGAAAACCCAAAATAAGGTCACAAGCAGTTGGACATGCCTGAAATGACTCAACAAACAATTGCCCAAGTTTATATAACCAATTCTACAAAATACCTACTTTTTGCTTAGCACTGTGCTATAGACGTGTTGAAGGAATATAATATGACCTCTGTGCTAGAGGAACTTACAATCAATGTAGCTGATAAGTTAATATTTTAACACATCAAATAATTTGAGGATGATAAAGAAATCTAAGTGTGACCAGTCTGTCAGTATACTTTATACTAAGCACTAAGGATATAAAGAAAGGCAGTAGATAGTACCTGCCCCCAAGGAGCTTGCAGTCTAACGAGAGGAGGACAGCACATTAAAAGTTGGGAGGTGGGGATGGATGATATAATGAGGTAGCTGCACTTGTTGGCCTCCTTAAATCGGGGGTCTAGGAGGAGCTCTTAAATTTTCCACCCTCCACTATCTCCAATCGGGTCCCTGGGCCATAGAGGTATGGAGGAGGTTATTAGTTTCATAGTTTATGGTAAGCCAGGATGGGAAGTTATGAAGTGTGTAGTTAAACAGGTGCTAGTGTATAACATTAAATCACTTTGATATTATGTCATCTTAGGCAGTACTTGGAGGATGTCATGGTCATTTTTTGGATATACTCCTATACTGCTACTGATCTTTTTTTAATAAGCTTAAATTGATGTCTTGTTTTTTACGCATCATCACCATAATTCTTCCAATGTCCCCTTCCAGTGAGCTGTCCTATGTAACAAATAACAAATATATAACACATTTTAAAAAGGAAAAAGAAGAAGAAAAAAAGATTGTATAACTAAAGTTCATCAAAAAAAGTCTGAAAATGTCTTCAGTGTACAGATCTTGTAGACCTCACCTCTGCATAGAGGTGGAATGGGAGTGTCTTCTCTTAAGTCTTTGAACCATGCTTCTTAATTTTACAGCTTTCATTTTTCGTGAGAGAGAGAGAGAGTGTGTGTGTGTGTTTTGTGTGTTTCCGTTTATTTTGTCATAGGCATTGGGTGTATTGTTTTCTTGGCTCTGTACTTCACTTTGCCTTAGTTTGTGTAAATCTTGCCATGTTTCTCTGTTCATCACATTAGTCATTTCTTACAGCATAGTCACGTTCCACTGCCATTCTGTCTTTCATCCTATTACATGTTTTAAAGCCCCTACTAGATTGCAAGTTTGTTGAAAGCAGGAATTATATAATTTTCCATCTTTGTATCTGCAGTCCTTCAGACGTATTTTCAGCATCAGTCTTTTTATCCCTCCACTAACCAGTTAACAGTGCCAGTCAGGCCCTGGTGTAGATAGGGTCACCCCCAAGGAATTGTGGTTGACTGTCATCACCACTAGCAGCCACCTCATTCTGACAAGTTTGTTGATGTTGGCTAGGCAGTAGTCAAACAGAAAGCAATAGTGCCTACCAGAGCATTGGATCCACTTTGTGCCATGAGGAGGCCCAGACTTGGTCATATTCGATGTTTAATCACATTGCATAAATTGAATATGTTGTGTTTCTCAGCAAAAATGTTAGAAATGTTACTAGTGATGAAACTTTTCTAGATTGATAGATTGTATGACTGGAAAAAGAGCCCAGATTCGGATGTGGCGGCAACTTTAAAGAAGCAGAAGAAGAACACCAAGGATGAGTTTGAGGAGCGGGCAAAGGTCATCATTGTGGAGTTTGCACAGCAGGTTAGCTCCTCTTTCTTCAAATAAGGAAATGAAATGCCATAAAAACATTTTTCTTCTACTGCTTTTTCTGATATATAAATGAAATAGCATTTCTGTTTTTTTCATTCCCTTTTCTGGCCAGTTTCATGGAGGTGCATCCAACAGCCATCATTTCGCCCTTTGTAAGCTTTTTTAATTCTGGAAGCTTGAATTGAGAGGAGGCCATCTAAGTTCCTTGTCTACAACTTAGCATTGCTCTTCATGTGAACTTTTTGAGCAGATAGTGATGGGGTTGTGACTCAGTATTTGCAGATTATTTGTCAGCTTCTAGATAGTCTATTCTTTTTCTCCGTTTTTAAATATTTGTTTTTATCTCCCCCCCCCCCCCCCCCCCCCCAGAGTCTGGCATTTTCTCGTTGATTTTGCTTTTGCCTTTTATTCACCAGGGCCTGAATGCTGCTTTGTTCTATGAGAATAAGGATCCTCGTACTTTTGTTTCCTTGGTACCTACCTCAGCTCATACTGGAGACGGCATGGGAAGTCTGATTGCACTTCTTGTTGAATTAACTCAGACTATGCTGAGCAAGAGACTGGCACAGTGTGAGGAACTGAGGGCTCAGGTGATGGAGGTAAATAGCATTTAAATTCTTTTGCTTCCCAGAAGACCTGTTTAATGGGGATTTTGTATCATTGTGTTTACCTCTTTGTAATTTAATGTACAAGTTAAATAGTGGCACATGTAGCTCATTCACTTAAATAATGTATCTTTCCTAGGTTAAAGCACTTCCTGGCATGGGAACCACAATAGATGTAATATTGATAAATGGGCGTCTAAAGGAAGGAGATACAATTATTGTTCCTGGAGTGGAAGGTCCCATTGTAACCCAGATTAGAGGGCTTCTGTTACCTCCTCCCATGAAGGAACTGCGAGTGAAGGTGAGTAAGGTTGGATGGTTCCAAAGACTGTGACTTTGCTCTTTTACTTTTAGAAATGTCACTGTTGAGATTTGCCATCATAGGTTCCTTATAGGACTCTCTCGCTGCTTTAAAAAAGGAGGGGGAGGGGAGATTGTAGTAGAATCTTCACGTTAATATTTTGCACTTTTTGTTTTGTCTCTTCAGAACCAATATGAAAAGCATAAAGAAGTAGAAGCTGCTCAGGGTGTAAAGATTCTTGGAAAAGACCTGGAGAAAACATTAGCTGGTTTGCCCCTGCTAGTGGCTCATAAAGAGGATGAAGTCCCAGTTCTCAAAGTAAGAATTTAAAAAAATTTTTTTTTGCAGGTGAGCACACCTAATTGTAGCGAAGAATACAATTATGGCCTTTTAAGAAAGAATTTAAATATTTCTGGCTGTTGGTGCTTTTTAAATATCTCAGTCATTTACAAATTAAAATGTCTTTTTCACATGAAATTTCCTCAGGGACGTATCTCAAGGAGTAGCTGAAATTGAGAGAGTTCCTGTATTTTTGAACTTTTTTATATGCGGGAGAGTTAATTATAATAATATACCTTCATAGTTGCAGTCTCCTTTTGTGCTATAAACAGAGCAATTAGAATCTCCATTTTACAGATGGGAAGCTTTATGTATAGATGATAGTGATAGGTCTTAGTACATATTTCCTGACCCTTAAGCCATACTATTTTCTGCCGCACAGTAAATCTTTTAGAGCTTTGTTAGTAATCTCCAGTAAGGAATACTCTACCTGGGGGAGTAGGGATATACAAAGTGGATTTATTTGGTTGTTATTTTGTTTATATTGTTGTTATTTGATTGGGAGAGAGATCATTTGAGCCTTGTTTTTATGTTTTCTTTTCAAGGATGAGTTGATTCACGAATTAAAACAGACACTAAATGCCATCAAATTAGAAGAGAAAGGTGTCTATGTTCAGGCTTCCACGTTGGGCTCTTTAGAGGCATTACTTGAATTTTTAAAAACTTCAGAAGTACCAGTAAGTAACAATACCCAATTTAATATTAATTAAATGACTTGTTTGTCCATGACTAACATACTTCTGTCTTACTTTTCCCATCCTAAGGATTCTGAATCTTGGGTTTATGTTGCTGATCACAACTTAATTCCCATCCTCTTTCACTTAATCTCCTGCTTTTAAGCTATCCAAACCTTACACTGTGCCCTCTGGGATGCCAGTTCGGTAATTTAAGAAACTAGATTTCATTCCAAGTCTCTTTTCCTTCTTGCTCCTTCTCCTTATTATACTCGTAAAGCCCTCGCTACCTTCTGACATAGTTTCCCTGGCTCTCCTCTCCAGCCGCGGTTGTACTTTCACCCAAAACCCCCAAATCATGGTCATGGTCGAGGAGTTCAATTATTCTTTGTTCTCCATTGTATACTGTCTCGTTCAGTCTTTATTTATCACCCTATCAAGATTCTGGAGGAATGTAGGCTTCTAAGACATCCCCTTTCCTTCCTTGCTGAGTTCAGTGCCTGGCTTATAGTCTTCCTCCCTGTAGCCTGTCCTCACTCTGGGGGACTTGAGCATACATGTAGACAGATACTCCCTCAAGCGCACTAGCTTTCCATTCCGCCCCTGAATTCATTTCCATGACCTGCTCCTTTACCCTGAAGACAATGAGAGTTACACACTTGATCTTGCAGTTGCCCACAAATGCACCATTTCTGTGTTCACGAATTCTGAAATTCTTTCATCTGCTATTTCTCCCTGTGCCTAAAGGCTCGTTTCTCCTCCTCACTGTGATCTCCAAACCCTTGTACCTTCAGTTCTTTGTCCAGCCGTCACCTTTCTGCTGACTGTGCCCTCTTCCCCCTCACCCTCTTGAACCCTGGATGCACCGCTCTGCTGTCTTTCTCTTGTGAAATCCCTTGCCCCCTTGTTCAACCAGAGATCTTGCCCTGTCAAATCCTCAGGCTTGTGGAATTCCCACCACCTGCTTCCTTTATTCTTCCACATGTCCTGCTGAATTAAGCTGGAGAAAATCATGAACCTGCTACCTGGCTTCACTACAGATCTGTGTTGCATAACCTCAGCTGGTCCAAGGCAGTCCCTCCTCAACTTGCCCCTTTCCTCAGGGGCCCTTTCAGACCATACCATGCATCCCTCCTCAAAACTCCAAACCCCTCAGCTGAAAGCCTACCCTCACATTTTACTGAAAATGAGGCTTTGTGCTCAGAGCTCTCTTTTCTCCATCCGGCCTCATTTCACATCAAGATGCTTTCTGCCGCTTTTCTCCTTCACCCCTGCCTTACAGGAAGGGAGGTGGTCCTTCTTCTTGCCACAGTGAACTCCTTTATCTTCGTATGATCGTATTCCATCTTGCATTGCACCCTCTGTCATCCATTTTCTTTATTACACTATTCCTGTCTTCTGGCTTCTTCCTTCCTGCCTATAAAACATGCCCGGATCTCCCCATCCTCAAAAAACCCTCACTGCATGTATCTCTGATAGCATGTGAGTTTCACGTGTCCTTTTGTGGCTAGACTTACAGAGAAAGCTGTCTACACTCAGCGCCTCCACTTGCTATCTGCAGTCAGTGCTTCTCACTCCTTTCGTAACTCTGAAGTCGGACTTCTGCACTCAATTCAAACGGAAGTGTTAGTTACTAATGACTTTTTCTCAGTTCTTGCTCTTCTTGACCTCTGCAGCCTTTGGCACGGTCCAATTCCCTTTTCTTGTTGATCCTCTTTTCTCTAGACCTTGTGACACTGCTCTCTCCTGGTTCTCTTCTCTGGCTGACTTTTCCTTCTCAGTCTCTGAGCTTGATCTTGTTCAGATCATAGCTGTTATGTCCCCAAGTGCTGTCTCCTCTCATCAGCTCCTCAGTTTTCAACTGCCATCTCCTTGCAGATGTCTTAATGATTTGTCCAGCCCTGACCTATCCCCTGGCTTCCATTCTTACCTCTCGGGCTGAATATTGGACATCTTCAACTAGATGTCCTGTCAACATAAATTCATCCTGTTCTAAATGGAGCCCTTTATGTTTCCCCCTAAACTTCCCCTCTTTCTGACTTCTATAATACTGTAGATGGTACCATGCTCTGCCGCGTTACTTTTGAGTGCCCACAACCAAGGTGTCATCCTTGATTCTTTACTCCTTTATCCTCTATAGCCAATCATTTGTCCATTCCTGTCAATTCTGTCTTTGCAACATCTCTCATGTACACTCCCTTCTGTCCTCTGACGCTCGCCTCCATGGTGCATGACCTCATCACCTCATGCCTGGACTGTGGGGATAGCCTGCGGGCTGGTGTCCTTGCATCCAGTCTCTTCTTGCTCCTGTCTGTTGTCCACTAAGTTATCAAAGTGATCCCAACTCCAAAGGTTCCTTATTGCCTGCATGATCAAATATAAATCATCTTTTTGGCCTTCTCCCTTCTTAACTTTCCAGTCTTTTTCTACCTTTTACCTCCTCTATGTACTCTGTAATCCAGTGACACTGATCTTCCTTGCATTCAACACTCTGTTGCCCAATTCTAGGGCATTTTTCCTGGCTGTCTCCCCTATCTGGAACTCTGCTTCATCTCTACTTCCTAACTTTCCCATCTTCTGTCCAGTCTAAGCTAAAATCTCAGCTTCTGCAAGAAGCCTTAGCTCTTCTCCCTAAAAACTAATGCCTTCCCTCTGTCGATTATCTCCCAATTTGTCCTGTATATATCTTATTTGTAACCTTCTTGTTTTTGGTGCTTTTCTGCTTGTGGGCATTCTCCCTTTAGACTGTGAGCTTCACGAGAGCAGAGAGTTTTCTTTTGCCTTCCTTTGTATTTCCAGTGCTTAGCACAGTACTGCTTGTTAACTAACTTAATATGGTCCAAAAAATAATGTCCAATGGCAGTGCTATTAATGATATCTGAGATGATAAACTAATTTTAAAAATTTCCCCCCTTTTTTTTTTAATAGTATGCTGGAATTAACATAGGCCCTGTTCATAAAAAAGATGTTATGAAGGCTTCAGTGATGTTGGAACATGATCCTCAGTGAGTGATTTCTGTTATTAATTTTGTTATTAATTTTTCTAAAACATTTATTGAGTTCTGTTTTTAAAATGACCTTTAGCTCTCCTTCTTGTTAATTCACCTGTCTTCTGGAAAGACTCGCTTTGATATGTTCTTAGTTTTGTATTGAAATGTCTTTATGATTGATTTCTTTTAATTGCAGATATGCAGTAATTTTGGCCTTTGATGTGAGGATTGAACGTGATGCTCAGGAAATGGCTGATAGTTTAGGAGTCCGGATTTTTAGTGCAGAAATTATTTACCATTTGTTTGATGCTTTTACGAAATATAGGCAAGACTATAAGAAACAGAAACAAGAAGAATTCAAGTAAGTTAATGGTTGTTACTTGGATATTGGGTAGTAAAGTTTAATGTTTCATGCCAGGACACTATACAGACAAGTTTTCGTATCACCCGTAACAGTACACATAACCTGCATTTGGCGACTGTGGAGGTATTTCCAGTATTTAGCTTTTTAAAGTTCTAGTTTGACATAACATGAAATAGCCACCAACAATTGAAAGGGCAGTTTCTAAATTTGGACACGATTTCTGTCTGGAATAGAGTCTTCCATGAAATGCGAAAGACATGTCCATGTGGCAAAATAGACGGCTCATAGCTGTCATGACCTCCTAAGTGAGAAGCCTCAAATCTTATGTTAAAGGTCCTTTGGCAAGAGGAATGTGGAGATAAAATGATGAAGTTGGAATACGATTGGGCCATTTGACGTGTCCGTCAGTGCGACTATTCCACCTGCTCTTCAATAATAGTTTAATGTGTGGCTGTTGGGGAACCATTCCAGTGGAGGGCCTTAGTCCTCAGAGTGCAGTGTTCTAGCTCCAGTATGATCTAGGCTGGGCACTGGAGTTAGGAACCAAGGGACAGTATTTCTTCTGCCTTTAAATTTTATTATTCACAAGAACTTCAAATTATATGTGTCTTTGGGTATCTGTTTTGGAGAGTAAACCAACGTACCAGCTTAAAAACCTTCTTGTTCTTTCTCTGTTTAGACATATTGCAGTATTTCCCTGTAAAATGAAAATACTCCCCCAATTTATTTTCAATTCACGAGATCCAATAGTGATGGGTGTAATTGTTGAAGCAGGTCAAGTGAAACAAGGCACACCCATGTGTGTACCTAGTAAAAATGTAAGTATTGGTCACATTCTTTCAACTTTTTTTTTTCTTTTTTATGAGAAATCTTATTTAAGGAAAAAGAAAACAACTTGATATTTGTAAATCCCTTTTCTTTTTTCTAATAAATGAGAACTATAGCAGTAGCAGTAAAAAGTAAAATTTAGATGGAGATGGACTTGCAGATTTAGTTCAGAGTTCTTCAAGGAGAAAAAAGCTGAGGTTGCAGGTTAAATGAGGAGCTGGTTTTTAAGGTTTCTGTGTTTACTCTTTTAATCTCATGTTGCAAGGTTTCTGTGACAACTAAAATAAATAAAAACAAATTGATTTCACCCCAAAATATGTTTAAGATGAACTATTAAGTATATTTCCCAAATCTGGTTCAAATCCGGAATTTCTTTTTCTTTTGTATGTCAGCACAGTGCTTAGCTTAATGCATGGAGTTATTTCCTTAATTTGCTTTTTGAGTTGTTAGTAATGGCAAAATAAATGAATCTGCTCAGTGTTTTTAAAAGGTGGTAAAAGCAACTTTATTTTTGTATGTAGTCTGTTAGAATTCAAAAGGCACTTTTAAGTTGTGTGTGATACTTTTTTACTATAGCTGGTCATGACACACATGTTCTGATGACCAGAATTTGGTCATTAACCTGAATGGGTCATTAGATGGGTCTAATTTAAATACTTTCCTTCTTTATTTTCTTTTAGTCTTTTCAGTAGTGTCTGACTTTTCATGAAAACCCCCCACCCTTTTTTTTTTTTTTTTTTTTTTTTTTTTTTTTTTTTTTTTTTTTT